TTCTCCCTTTATTCTCCTGTTACATCTGTATTTATACCATTTGATCCTATAAGCATGCCTCTATAGTCACATCATGGTATGTTTTGGGTCCTCCCTTGACCTTCTACAGTTCCTTGTTTCATGTCCATAGTTCTTATCTGACCTTTGCCAAAAATCCCATCTCCATCTAGTTCTGTTGATTTTAATACTATCCATTCTATTCCAAAGGTTAGGGCTAGTTTGTTATCTCCATTCCAAGGTCACTACTGTTCTGTTAAACTACAAGGAAGTAAGTGAAGGAGATTATCCTATTCTATGGCCTAAGTAAAGGTTATGTAGCTTAAGCATGATTGTTCATAGTTAAGGTGATTAACTACCCGCCTGGCACTTAGTTAAGGGGTTTTACTGATTTATTCCCTTCCTTAGTCCTGTTAATCCCTAACTCCAGGGAAACATCCCCACCTGGGGAAACAACCTTTCTCCGGGAGGTGGCCCTGGTTAGAACACATAGCGCTAAGAAGGGGAGCAAACATATTAAGAACAGTATGGCAGGTCCCTTGAAACATATGCTGTGCAGATGTTTCTTCCCTGCAGCGACTGTGTCAAGCAGCAAGGATGGACCAGCTTCCGGCAGTTTGTCTTCCTTTTGTTAAGTTGTATGAGTTCCTTATACATTTTGGATATTAACCCTTTATCAGATGTATCATTGCCAAATATGTTTTCCCATACAGTGGGCTCCCTTTTCATTTTGTCGATGGTTTCTTTTGCTGTGCAGAAGCTTTTTATTTTGATATCATCCCATTTGTTTATTTTCTCCTTAGTTTCCTTTGTCCTAAGAGATGTATCTGTAAACATTGCTATGAGAAATGTCTGAGATTTTGTTGCCTGTGATTTCTTCTAGGATTTTTATGGTTTCACAACTTATATTTAAGTCTTTTATCCATTTTAAGTTTATTCTTGTGTATGGTGTAAGTTGGTGGTCTAGTTTCATTTTTTTACATGTATCCAGTTTTATCAACAGGAGACTGTCATTACTCCATTGTATTCTCTTGCCTCCTTTGTCAAATATTAATTGAAGGAAATGGCTTGGGTCAATTTCTGGGGTCTCTGTTCTGTTCCTTTGATCTATACGCCTGTTCTTGTGCCATTACCAGGCTGTTCTGATTACAGTGGCTTTGTAGTACAACATGATATCTGGTATTGTGATCCCTCCTACTTTCTTCTTCTTTCTCAAGATTACTGCAGTTATTTGGGGTCTTTTTTGATTCCATATAAATTTTTGGAGTGTTTGTTCTAGATCTGTGAAATATGCCATTGGTATTTTAATGAGGATTGCATTGAATCTGTAGATTGCCTTAGGTAGTATGGACATTTTAATGATGTTAATTCTACCAATCCATGAACACAGTATATTCTTCCACTTGTTTATATCTTCTTCTATCTCTTTTTTTCAACATCCTGTAGTTTTCCAAATACAGGTCTTTTGCCTCCTTGTTTAAGTTCATTCCTAAGTATCTTAATATTTTTGTTGCAATGGTGAATGGGATTATTTGTTTAGTTTCTCTTTCTGAGAATTCATTATTAGTTTATAAAAAAGCCATCAGTTTTTGGGTGTTGATTTTGTATCCTGCTACATTGTCAGATTCATTTATTAAGTCTAGTAGTTTTTTCATGGAGTCTTTAGGGTTTTCTATGTACAATATCATGTCATTTGAAAATAATGAGTTTTACTTTCTCCTTTCCAATTTGGATGCCTTTTATTTCTTCTTCTTGTCTGATCACTGTGGCTAGGACTTCCAGCACTATGTCGAATAGGAGTGGTGAGAGTGGGCATCCCTGTCTTGTTCCTGTTCTTAAGGGAAATGGTTTTAGTTTTTGACCATTGAGTATGATATTAGCTATAGGTTTGTTATATATGGCCTTTATCATGTTGAGGTATGATCCCTCTATTCCCACTTTGCTGAGAGTTTTCAATCAAAAAAGGGTGTTGGATTTTGTTGAGTGCTTTTTCTGCATCAATTGATATGATTGTGCTGGGCTGCATATCTGGCGCTTTGGCCAGACGGGTCATGCTGTGCTGTCTGTTCCTAAAACACATAGATAGGAAGGTACTGACATCAGGCCAGGCCTTGAGATATGGTCTCATGGCCCCTTCCCAGCACACAGGCCTTCTTTCTCAGAAGGCCTGGAAGTCTCATTCCAAATTTGGGAGACAAAGGACTGGAAAAAGTATAAATAAAGAGAGTTTCCTCCATATGGGGGGTCCAGAATTTGAAAGACACATTTTTCTCTGGGCCTCCACAGAATTTAATAATAAAATGTAACTCCTGTAGTAGGCTGCAGTTCAGCCTCTGCTTCGGCAGGGTGCTATAACTGTAGTCGCTGGCCAGCTTAATAAAGGCTCTTAAATTTAAATTCTGAGTCGGTGGTCTGTCTCGCTGAGTGAACCCACAACATTGATCATGTGATTTTTGTCTCTCAATTTGTTTATGTGATTGCTGCGACCTTCACGGCAGGTTCAGGATGACTTGAAGGAGGGCCGTCGACACAATGAGTACACTATATAGGAAATATGAATTTTGAAGGTATTGGGGGGGCCAGGTGGGAACATCTTTCGTGAAGAGGCTCAACAAGACTGGGTCCTATCTGCTTTTATTCACTTTGAATACTCGTTTGTCCTTTAGCAATGCATACAGGCAGATCAAAGGTGAAGTCTGGTATGCAATGTAAAGATGATCAGGTCAGGAAATCGCCTCGCGCCATCGCCATCACAGCAGGCGCAATCTTGTGTTGACTCCAGCCCTGCTGGGATCAAGGTCCAGTGGCCTTCCAATGTCTCTTTTGCACTTTTATGCTAAATGCCGTTATGCTTTGGCCTCCAGCATGTGACGTATCACATTTATTGATTTGCGGATATTGTACCAGCCTTTCATCCCTGGAATAAATCCCACTTGGTCATGGTGTTTGATCTTTTTCATATATTGCTGGATCCAATTTGCTAATATTTTGTTGAGGATTTTTACATCTATGTTCATCAAGGATATTGGCCTGTACCTTTCTTTCTTTGTAGTGTCTTTATCTAGTTTTAGAATTAGGATAATGCTGGCCTCATAAAAAGAGGTTGGAAGTGTTCCTTCCTCTTGGATTTTTTTGGAATAGTTTGGGGAGTATAGGTGTATTTGTTCACTCTCCTTGGAATTGCTATGTCCTGTTTCCAAATACATCACATTCTGAAATATCAGAGGTTAGGACTTCAATAAGTGAATTAGAGGGGTGGGGGCACAACTCAACCCCTAGCACCGCCTTCTCCTCTCCCCTCTCAGATCTCCTCCTAACACCTCCCATTGGTGGGACCCAACTAGAGAGGAAAGGAGTTGGTTGATGTGAACCGTAAAATGAGCCTCCGGAGGCTGGGCAGGGTGCAGGGTAGACCTGGGTGGGCAGAGAGGCTTCCAGCAGACCCTGTGCAGCCTTCCTTCAGGCAGGAGCCCTGCACCCGGCCACCTGTGCCTCTAGATTGACTGTGTATGAGCCCTGCCCTCCTAAAGGAGAGCCACCCTCCACCTCAGGGGTAGAATCAAGTCTCTAAAAGAAGGTGACTGGTTGTTTGGGTCACAAGAGACTTGAAATGGACTGGGAGGCAGGGTACCTGGTGCACTACCGGAAGCCCACGCCTTCTCTCCATGACTCCAGGACATTTCCCTGTGGTTTCCAAGCCTCTCTGTTGCCTAGGGACTGCATCCAATTGCATGTGAGGAGAACTCAAGAACAGTGATAATAGCCTGAGGGAAGTTTATCTCTCCCTACATGTCAAGATGTCCAGAGCAGGTCAGGCCGTTGCTCACGGAAGTCATCAAAGGCCCAGGGTCCGAACTCACTGCTCCCTGTCTTCAGCAGGCGGCTCCCCCGTCTTCGGCAGGTGGCTTTGGCCACTGCACACCCAGCCCTGCACCTGTGATCTAGGCTGAAAGTAGAGGAGACTTCAGGGAGAGTGGGGGTAGAAATGAAGAGCAGAACTTCCTGAGAAATCACAGGGCACGGCCACTTCTATCTCATCGGCGGAACTGTACCCCTTCTTCCGTGGGAGGCAGGGACGTGTCGTTTGTGCCCTGGGCTGATAGTCAGGCTCCTTAATACAGATGACATAGCGAGCGGCTCTGGGTGGGCATCAGGCAGGGTCGGCTGTACTGGCCAGTGCGCCTGTGGGCCTGGCTCCCAGTGCACCTGTCATGTGGCTCCCACATCTGAAAGTGACACCTAGACCTGGAGTAACCTGTTCTGAGGATTTGAGTGAACTGGGGGAAAGCAATAACTACTATTACTCCAACTTAAATAAATCCTGAGAATGATCTAAAGCAGGGGTCCTCAAACTTTTTAAACGGGGCCAGTTCACTGTCCCTCAGACCATTGGAGGGCCGGACTGTAGTTTAAAAAAAACTATGAACAAATTCCTATGCACACTGCACATATCTTATTTTGAAGTAAAAAAACAAAACGGGAACAAATACAATATTTGTATTTGCATGTGGCCCGCGGGCCGTAGTTTGAGGACCCCTGCACTAAAGCATGTAATAAGCTCCCTACTGTGGGCCCTGCCTCTCATTAGCGCTGCTGCCAGAACCTGGCTTATCCAGAGGATGGGAGACCGTCTTCAGGATTCTTGCTGTGAGCTTCGTGGAGGACACGTATGTGTGTCTGTGGCACAGCAGCCAGTTAGCCTCTCATCCTTTGCCCTGCTCAGACACGTGAGCAAAGAATGTTATTTAATTCTTTCTTCTCTCTTTAGAGGAAAAGGACCAAATTCATTGCCTGTGATTTTCTGACTGAGTGGTTATACAAGTAAGTTTTTCATGACTATTCAGTGACCCTAAAGATTCAATAATGTTAATTTGCAAGCAGGATAGCAACAATTGACTTGAATTCTTCCTTATTGTTTTCTTGTCAATCAAACATATGACATCATGACCAGTCAAAATCCAAAGAGGACAGGGGAGCCGTTCACAGATTTCTTCTCCATTCCCTTTGTGGAGCAGTGGCTGAAGCAACAGTAAGTGCCGACAGAGGTTTGAATAATTTATTTCTGATTTCAAAATTGTTAGTTTTCTCCCATCTAAGAGAACTAACTCATGTAACCACCCTGGGCCCCAGGTAAGTTACATCTGTGGCTCTTGTCTCTCGTTATTTTCAGTCTAGGTTCAGGGCATCTATCTATGCAGTGATTATTCAAAGAGCACTTCAGAACTAAAATAGAAAACTTTAAACAACTCTTATCCTAAATAATTCGTCTCTCCATTCTCTCCCTCTCCCTTTTCTCCCTAGCTTCTCCCTCCCTTCCCCTTCCTTGAAGGTCATTATGTCTCAGGAAATAGGACTAAAGTTTTCTAACTATTAATTTTTAGTTATATGCATCGGTTCTACATTCAAACCACTAGGATATGACAGATAAAATTAAAACTCTCTTTGACCACCCTTTTAATGTGAGTCTTCTCACAGAAATAATCAGTTTGGTCGATAGTACATCTTCCCAGAGCTCTTAAAATTATTTAACCCTATAAAATTGAGTTCTAGCATATGGAATTAGTAATACTATTTATGTGGGCTGTTTTCGTCAGTAACATAGCAATGACACTTACTGAGCACCTGCATCTGCATTTGTGGCTTCATAAAAATTGAAATGGTACTAATGTAATTCAGTGCAATAAATACTTACTGAGAGAGAAACCAAGATGGCGGCATACGTAAACACCTGAAATTTCTGCCTTGCACAACCACTTCAAAACTACAACTAAAAGACAAAACAGACATCATCCAGAACCACAGGAAGACTGGCTGAGTGGACATTCTACAACTAGAAGGAAAGAGAAAAGCACACTGAAACTCAGAGGAGGTGCGGAAGTAAAGTGCAGAGGTACGGAGGCGCGTGCGGAAAGAGCTGGCAACTGAGGATGACACGGTTGTCTTTTTCAATCGGGAGGGAGACACAAGCTCCCAACTTCTCTGAACTCCAGTTCTGGGTGAGTCTCTGGGACCCAGACTCATACGGGGAGAAACTGGACTGTCTGGCATCGGGCAGAACTCGAGGGCGGCTTTCTCTCAGAGGTGCTTGCAGCGATTACCGGGACACTGAGACCCGGGGCCTCTTAGTGCAGGGCTGAGGATCAGCCATAGCTGTTTGCTCCATCCTGTTGATTCCCTGAGACCCCGCTCCACCCAAGCTGCTAGCAGTGGCTTTTGCATATGAATGGCCTGGCCCTTTG